CAACCCTGCACTCAGGCTGGTTTGCAGTTGGCTGCAGGCTACAAAGAAAGAGCTGCAGGTGATGTTTTTTTGTTTTTCTTCAATCACAATGAATGGCGTTGATCGACATATGCTGATCACGTTTGGCGGCAGGTCGATCGCAACACCGCTAATGTATGTCCATAGCGCAGTATGCACACATGCCCGAGTGGCAGTTGATTCTGAAGAACTGTTTATACCATACATTGATTGAGGTCCACTCTCAACTTTCATCAACTCATTATTTCAGGTTTCTTTCATTTTTCAATATTTGTCATACACGGGCACGAACGACAAAAACGCATCCGCAAAGTAAAGAACATAATTTATTCCAAGACAAATTGCGATGCCAAAATAAATACACAGGAGCAACATCAGTACATTACTTTGTGAATCCATGAAACGGAATAATTTTTAATTTTGTTTTTTTAAAAAGCAAAACTTTTAGTGGTACTGAACAGAAGAAAAGCGAATCCTGAAAGTATCCCAGCTCCTTCGCAACTGAACAGGCCACACTAAAAGAAAAAAAGGATTAAAACTTTTGATTCAAGTCACCAAGCAAGATCTCGTGTTAAAACAATACATGTTTACAGGCCTCGACAACTTTTAATAAATACAACAAAACAAAAAGATCAATAAAAACAGTCATTAGGACCAATAAAATTGTGTGACCACATTTAAGTTTGTAGCAGAATGGCTAAAAGGAAGTGTGGGGAGATAAAAAAAAAAGAAGAGAAAAAAAAAAAGAATCACATCCAAATCAGGCAGTCTTGATACATTCATTGTTTCCCGTTTTGCCAAAGTAAGAATGTGCTAAGATGCAACTCGTCTCCCACCGGAAAAGTGAACTGAAACGTTCCACGTAACAAATGTAGCAAAGATCCGAGATGGCACAAATAGTGTCGGACATTGTGCCCTGCTGTGTTGAAAATGTTGGACATCTGTATTAGCTTAGTAAAGAGATACACTTCGGTCTTGTTTTGCACGTACGAAAACGCTCCCACGCGCAATTCTTCATGAACTTGTAAGGCCCTTAAGGTGGCGATGTGGTTTGAGACAGCCATGGGAACAAAGGGGAACACTTGGCACCGTTGATGAAGTCAACTTGATTTGTTAGAAAGACTCAAAAGAAAAAAAATACACATATTTGAAAAAGTAGTTGGAGTTAGAAAAACCATCAAGGAAAGGAAACCAGAAAAGGCATTTTTCGCATCAACGACAGTAGCCGACACATCTCGTCCTCATCGCCGACGCCGCGCGTGCAGAGAGCGCACACGAGCGGGAGCTCTCCGCTTTTAAAACAGTCACAGCTGCTTGGAAGGAGCTCCGCGCTTGTTTCAAAAATGGCTCAGTTTGAAATAACAAACAAACAAAAACCCAAGAGGTCAACGCTGCCTCTTTCGACATCTTCCGGAACGTCTTCAGCTTCATTTGGAAACATTCAAACGATTGCCTCTGAACGAACTCAAGTCTCGTTCCTCAGTCGCGGTTGTGTCTTTCACACACACACACACACACACACACACACACACACACACACACACACACACACACACACACACACACACACACAAAAAAAAACCAACCGCAAACCCTCTTGAGGGTTAATGGGTGCAGGGAGAGAATTTTTTGGGGTGGAGTTAGCAGGACAGTGAAGGGTAAACAAAGGCGACATTGAAGTTAGCGGAGTGGACGATGGCCGAGGCGATGTGACGCTTTGAGAAAGATGCCAGGATGCAGAGTTGGGGTGACTGGCAAGATGGTGCATTGATGAGGAGGAGGGGGAGGAGGCTGAAGACATGGAAGATTAGCGTAAGAGAGATGGATGAGGTAAGCCATGGAAAGGGAGGAAGGAGCGCAGGTTTTACGGCTTCCGTTTTGTGGGGAGGCAAGAGATGAGACGGCAAGCGGATGGGACGGAAGAGGGAAAGAAAAAGGGAGCGTTGTTCTGGCAAAATGATGGATGAGGGCAAAAGTGGAGAGAGGGCGACGGGAGCGCAAGGCAAAAATGAAAGAATGAGAAACCTGGGCGAGGGAGAGCCCAAATGAGCCCATTCCAAAGTGATGAGAGAGGTTACATCGAGTAGAACGCGGGTGCTTCAAATCACGTGAAACACAAAACGAAAATTGCAAAAGTTCTGGCTAAAAGGCAGGAGACAGCGCAAGCGAATGCAAAGTCGCAAACCATGACTGCCCGCGCTTCAACAAGAAGTGATGATAAATGGACGGCCGCTGCCAGAGTTGAATGTCTTTTCATTCAAAGTTCAACCTCACCTTGTTGGAAACTTTTGCCGCATTCTGAGAGTCCGTTAATAAAGTCGCTGATAGGATGCTTAGGGTGCGGTGTGCACCAAGACACAAATATTTATTATCATCAAAAAGGTGAAGGTGGGCAGAGGGAGAAGGGAGGCTGGCAGAAAAAGAGGTGCCATCGCTACTACTAAATTTGTTGACCAACTTTTCTCAACATTCTGAGATACAAAAGAGCCATTTATGATTAAGAGAATAACACAAGTTATCTCCAAAACACTTTAGCGAATGAAGACATTTAGAGGCAAAAAATCATTTCTTTCACTTTGTGCTCTCTGGCTGATTGATGAAGACATCACAGGAATGATCATCGAGTAACTGCAGCATTTGTACGCTGAAAATCCTCACAAATATGTCATTTTGGTTTCACGAATAATTGAGTACTTTTAAACCGTACGTTGCGTTGGTTGGTATGATTGGGGAAGAAAAAATAGCGTGCGCACGCAGATGGAGATGAGTGATGGAAAAAGATCAGGAAGAATGCATACCGTAAGTCAACAAACGAATACAAGATTGAATTTAATATTGACCGTTACATGTCAGCGGGAGAAAACTGTAAGGATGTGTGGGAGTTTAGAAAAGGCACACAAGAAAAAGAAGCGGTCCAGGAACGAAATGGGCAAATGCTCGCATCGGTTGGAGAAAGAGAGGTCTGCAGAAAGAAGAGCCAAGAGGTGCGGTCAAAGGTGAGCGCCATCGGGAGAATGGAGGGAAATGACAAGAGGTTGACAGACTAAAGGGGGGGGGGGGCG